CAGATTTATAAGTGTGGTTAGAAACTGAGATCGAGTCCCATGCAGTGTGCATTAAAGGTGGTGCCAGATGTGGTGTGCTCGGGCAGATGTTGGTTATCACTGCTGAGCTTAAAGAAAACATGAGATTTCCTTCTCACTGGTTCCCTGTTGTGGCTGCGCCGCCTTCACCAGCACCTTTCTTCCCCTCAAATACCAGGCCGCTGTTATCTCTGTGCTCCAGGCTGCTCCAATAACACTTAACACAGTCTGGGCAGCCAAGGATGGACATCCAGGAAGCTCCACATACACCTAAACACAATCACACATAACAGGACAGATAGCAGAGTCAGGATTAACCACATTACTGAGCGATTCAATTTTAACCAGTTATTAAATGGAAACACCAATAACACAACTTTTTAATAGGGTAGTCTGACTTTTATCAGTCACTACCAATTTCTGTTTTTTCTCAGAGCAGACCAATTCTAAATGTAGCTCTTAAGGACTTTGGCACATTCAAACTACTTTGGATACACTTTTTTTGATTCAGCAGTTGAGTCGAAGAAGCACTGAGCATAAAAGAAGTCGATGTGTTGTGGTTCCTTGATAGAGCTGGTAGAGTTTTAAATCCACCAGAAAATTAAGAGACTACAAGATTATTAGAGCTTTCCTAAAATTGTGCATCAAAGTGCTTTAAAAAAATGTGATATGTTGATTCACTTTTGACCAAAAAAAGAGTTATTTTAGTTATTGATGCAGTTATTGATTACCAATCGCTATTCAGAAGGGTTGCGATAGGTTTGGTAGGTGCATCACACATGATGACTTTACCAAATTGACAAAACATAAATAATATAATAGTCTCTTTTTCTAAAAATCATATACTTCAGGATTAAAGCAGTTCAGAGAACATTAAATACAAACAGTTTGGTAAAGTTACTTTGATATACTTTTAAAAATACAAAGTAACTGAGGTGTTTCCAGTGGTAGACTGAGAAAATCCTTCACAAAGCAAAACCAGAGTGCATTAAAAACATTTTTAGTTTAAAATGTAACTTTTCTCTAGTTATCCCTCATTACTTTCTTCAGTATGTTACCATTTCATGTCCTTGAGGGCTTGCGTACAGAGCTTCATCGTCAGCTGACTACATCACATCTTGCCCTTCTGTGCAGGCCAACAGAATGCTGCACTGACGCAGAGCGCGTCTAGCCCAAACACCCTGTTCTCCCCTGCTGTATTTAGTAGTTTAGTTTATGTGTGTGTTTGTGTGTGTGTCATGACTCAATCACAGCTCTGTGCTCCTTCTCTGCAGCTCCTGACACATTCAGCCCTCAGCAGAAACATCTGAGGCGATGTATCGGTAATATCGAGGGCAGCTTCAGCCTGCAGGACATCCAGGCAGGTTGTCAAAGGGGAGGTCACTAGTTCACAAACTGTGACTGGTTGGGAAAAATCTGGCTGACGTGCCCCTTGGCAAATCACTTAACCCCTGATCGGAATATTGCCACAGCAGATTTTCTTTTTCTGTTGGAGAAGACTGGTTGAACTGGGATCCTTTCAGATGCAGAACTGCATGGATTGAAGCACGTTGTTGCATCGTATATAAACTTTTAAAATTATATCATTTCCCTTTATTGCACTTTTTGATAGAATGTTATATCACAACATTGTCTTAACTCAGGGGCTTCTGTAGAGCCGCTGTAATACAGTCTGCTACAGGAGATCCTTTGTCCCCACAGCCATCATCATCTGCAGACCCATTTAATGAATTAGAATGCTAGTGAAAAGTTTATCTATTTCAGGAACTTTGTCAGTGAATTAAAACACATTATATAGATTAAATACATACGTTTGAAAGCCTTTATTTCTGTTATGATGATTTTCCACTTACAGCTCATGAAATCAATGGAAAACATTTCTAATACAAAAACATAGCTTTAATTAAAACTATGTTTAATATACTTGGAGGTTGTCAAATTTCAAAAGGTACTTTTAACCTGACAAATGAGTTTAATCGAAACACATGGTCTAATTTTATCAATATGACAAAATTTATCAGAATTACAGGTAATGTCCCTGTGCGATTAATATTTTTTTATTTTTAACTGAATTGCAATTTTAATAGTATTTATGCAAATAGAACAAGCACAGGCTGTATTTGACGTTTTATCCACATAAATTTTTATTTTCAGAATTAAATGGAAAACAGGAAATTGTTCGGGTCACATCTCAGTTCTCTGCCGTCTCCAACAAGAGTTTCTCTCTTGAATTTTTCCCCACTTTGTTTCCCTTTTCAGTGGCGAGAAAAGAAGAGTTTTCTGTAACTTCTCATTGTTTGACTGCATAGACTGATTACCTTTACAGAATATCTAGTCTACTTCATATTTACCTCCTAAGTAGCCGATACCAAAACATCGTGTGAGAATTAAGCTAAATACCTCCAGTGCCTCCAGTGTTTGATAACCAAAGCTGTAACACATTTGGGTGTTCCCCAGGGTTCTAATCTAGGCACATTGTAGGCTCCTAATTATCAGCATTTATCTTTTCCCTGTCCAAAGCCTTTCTGCTGTTCCTGCAGCGAGGCAGCAGACACACTCCAGGCTCTCTGCTTCCCATGTGAGAGCAAAGACTCTGCCTGACATCTGACATGGGAAGCGAAAAGCAGCAGCAGCGTGAAGGGTAAAAGGTCGAAACTTGACCACCCCAGGCAGATAAAGCAGCCTTTTCATGTGTGATCGGCCCGCCGCCTGAAGACAAATCCCTCAGTTCGCTGCCTTTGAACTTCACGGCAAACGGAGCGAGTCCCTCACCCGCACGGCCGCTAACAAGCGCCGCGAGAGACTCTGAACTCACCTTGTTATTATTTTGCTCGATTATGTGTCCATTTTTACCCCTCTTTCATTTGACGCTGAATGAAATAAAATGGATGACCCTCATGTTAGAAACGTTTGTTCTTTCTGGAGGGACACTAACGAGGAGATCCAGATAGAATTCATTAACCTTAGCTGAACTCTTCCGAGTCTGAGCCAATCAAAAGGTACAAGATGAACAGAAAGGTAAAATATTCATCTCCTGTAGCTCACTGTAGATATTCCTTTGGTTCTCCTTCGAAGTTGGTCTGATACAGCAGTCATAACACTCATAACACCTTCTTCCTGCCTCCCTCCACTCTTTACCATCAGTGCATAATTCATAAACATCTTATCTAAGCCAAGCCGATTGCCTTCCCTCTAAATGAGCACGCAGCGCGGCGCCCACAGCTTCACAAAAGGAATGTCAGTCTCATGACAGACAGTTTCGAGTTCTTTGTTTCAGGAGAATAGATGTAAATAGAGGGCGTTCTCCTACTGCAGCTCCCCCAGGTAGAGGCAGAGCAAACAACGCAGAGGAGCCGCTGTTGTGTCTGCTCGCTGCTTTCCAGAGGCTTCAGCTGTGCCATGCTGCCACTTGGCTGTGTGTGTGTGTGTGTGTGTGTGTGTGTGTGTGAGAGAGAGAGTGTATAAACAGTCTGTATGCATATATAGATTGCTATATTTAAATCTGAACTACAAATAGTAGTAACAGGGCCTGAAACAGTCTATGCTTCTGTTGCCGTTTGTGGGTCTCTGCTGTCTCATTCATTCAAGAGCGGGCATGAATTCTCATAAACACTTTGGGCTTTTTCATTGCTTTATGCTTCTGATCATTAGACTTTATAATGTGCTCTGTTTTCAATCTGCCACCATGGTACATCTCAGAACAACCATATTTCATGGTTATTTAGATGGTTGCATAGATTAGGCAGATATTTTTCTGTTTTTTTTTTTTTTTTTTTCCCCTGGAATTAGGTCAGTGTTCATTTTAGTTAATAAAGCATAATGCTGTTTCATTGGTCGACATGTTTATGAATTGTCAAATGCATGGTTGGAAAAATGCCCACTCATTTTACTTTGCAGATTTACAATTTCTCCGCTCTGAGGTTTTATTTATTTTTAAAATAATGTGGCAGAGATGTTTGTATATCATACACAGCGGAGGAGTTTTAGAAAAGCGCAAAGTTAAAACCAATCACATTGCTTGAAAACAACCTCGACTTCCCGTTAGGAATTAAACTCAGGAACAGAAGGTTGATTTGAGTGGACACATATAGGTTGAACTACTTTTAAATAGCGTTATTAGAGTATAAAATTATTAAAACAAGACGTTATCCATTGGGAATCATGTTGAAGCAAGTATGTGGATGTATTGGAGCAATAGTTGTCGCAAACTATAATGCGAGAGACTTTAAATATTTGTTTTCCAATGTACACACACAAACTGAGTTTTTATTTATTTACTTTTTTAATTTCTGCTTTGCTTGGAGTTTTTTAGAATTAAGAATTTTTAGTGATTCAAAACAAGATTTTGTGTGGATTAAAGGCCAAAACGTATAAAAACATTTCAGTTTTCTCAAATATTTGGCTACGTGTCAGGGTGATTTTTCAGAAATAAAGTCTGATGTATCGGAGAGGAAAAGAACCTCCATCCATTCAGGATTTGCAGCCATCCTGATGCAGAACGTTTAAACAGTTTTCTGTAGAGAAATTATGATCCAACAAGACGGTGTTTAGAAAACAGGAAATGTGCAGCATCCACAGACTCTTTTGTTGTGGCTCTGATCGGGGAATCACATTTGGCGTGTCAGGCGACCCAGGCTGGGCAGCCGGTAGCCGTGGGCGACCAGCAGATCAGTGATGTGGCGGTGATGCCTCTAATGAAGCTGACACAGCACAGCCTCCCTCCTCGCAGACCCCCAAGCGCTTCGTGCTCTGCATGAAGCACCACAACAGATCCACCCCAGTCTACCCTCCAATTCAACCACATCTTCCTCTGATCTGATGTTTTCTCAAATGTGTTGTTGCGTCATTTATTATATGTTGCGTTAAGGCAAAGTGAGGGCTTGTAGTAGCCAAATTGGGTCACAACATACAAACACAGCCTCTATCTGCTCTTTTGCGTCTCCCTCCCTCAGTCTCATGAATGCCTTTATGTTGTTTTCCAGGAGCTGCCCAGCTGAGGTGAAGGGGAGGGCAGAAGATCCCAGTGGAGTGTTCATGACCTGCCCGCAGAAACAGGACCATGATCTGAGGACAGTGCTGGATGCATATGCATAGAACCCCATCTTCCTCTCCTCCATGTCCCTCTTTTTTTGTTTCAGTTGTTTTTTTTTTTCCAGTCTGAACTGAAAAGCCTCTCTGCTCAGGTGCTTTAGACAGAGTCAGGGTTAACTAAAAGGTCAAACTGAAAACAAGTAAGCATCTACAGAGGAGGAACTACATCTACAGCCATCTGTGACCTCACTCATTTCCATATCCTCCCTCCTCCTCCCATCGCAACGCCAGAACCATGGGGAGGAAAAAGATCCAGATTCAGAGGATCACTGATGAACGCAACAGACAGGTTAGTGATGATGAAATGAGCTGATGTTCAAATTCTAAGCAAGCTGCTTGCTTTTATCTTAAACTGATGCACTCAAGACGAGATGCAATGCAGTTTGTCTTTCAGTCCTGCAATCCAGCCTTTAGAGAAACCATTAACACCAAATTGCTCCTTATTGGTGTTTATGGATGGGGGGAAAAAAATCAAGCCTTGCTGGAGAAAAGTCATCTGGCAGATGGATGCATGTACTGCTCACTGCAGCTAAACGCACACAACTGAAGTTCATTTTCTTTAAGAAAATGTAGTTGATGTAATTATCTCGCTCCCTTTAATCTTATTCCCGTTAATCTGTTTGCAATTTAAAAAGTTTGAAACCACTCCTAAATTAGCACATATGGTGCCTTGTACATTTATTCACACCCTTTAATTATTTTAGTCATTTGATATGGCCAGAAACATTTACTGACATTTTACATGTCAGAACAACACAAAGTAGTGCCTAGCTGTGAAGTAGAAGGAAAATCTGCAAATCCTGAACTGGAAATTGGTTGGGCTCCACTGTACCTATATTCAGTTGGTAAAACATAAAGTTTGAGCCCAAATCTGCCAGGATTGTGAATAGTTTGGGGTTTAATTGCGGCTACATTTCTGGAAGTTGGTGTGTAATAATGTGTTTCAATGTTTTTCAAGACTGCATACAAACACTACCCAATGCAGGGCATAAAAACACACAAAGTACTATAGTTTCCAGACTAAACGTCACTCCAGAATATAAGTCAGATTTATTTAGAAATTGCTGTGAGGAGGATCTAGTCCATATTAGTGAAAGGTTCTGTTGAGATGTTGTGTTCAGTTGCATTTTTTTAATAAAACTGATGGAAACTGTTTACTTTGGCTTGGAATCTGCTCACAGTTTCTGACGCACTGATGCACTAAATCAGGGGGAGTCAGGAACGGAACGGCTCGGCTCCGCCGGTGTTCTGACGATCTGCGCTATCTCATCTGATTTTAATACTGCAGACAGTAAAGTGCGCAGCAGAGCGGTAATAGAGAAGCGTTTATGCCAAAAAAGCCCCCATGTAAAGTCGTATGTTCGCCTCTTTGGCAACAACCAGGATGTGGAAACCTACCTGCACCACACACAAGCCTTGCAGCACATAATTAAGCATTTAGCCTGCATTCAACTTTTCTCGCATCTGCAGACAGTAATATTTGCATCCTTGATTCATGTGCGTCAGTATGAATTAATATTTAACATATCAGTTAAAAAATACATCATTAAGTCATAAGTTGCTGAACCAGTCAGACGGACAGAAAAAAACAGACTTCTAGTCCAGAAATTACAGAACTGTAATTGCAGTGGTTTCACAGCTTATGGCATGATTTACTATAGATGTTGTAATCTACAGGCTGATGCCTGGAAACTGGTTGGTGTTCATATCGATCGGCTGCGTCCAGTAAGCAGCAGATCACTTTCAGATAAATCTAACCCAGAGCAGATCACATTACCTCCTCTGAACCTCAGCTTTCTAAACTACACTGTAGCATCACAGATGACGGTGGGTCATATGACTCTGCAGACATGTTTAGTAGGACTCCTTGAATACACCTTTTGATGCAGCTGCCTACCTCTTCACCTCATCTTGCACCCACCAAAAACAACAGAAATCATCAAAAAGCATAAAATTGCCCCAGTGCCTCGTTACATCAGTGGCATTGTCAGAGAAGATGAAAGGGTAAATGATCCATCTAAATGGGCTTTGCTCCATTGAACAGATTGAGTAATGGATTTGACGTCCCCACCTTTGAAACCAGAGAGAGAGAAGAAGGGAATGAATAAAAAATGGAGAGAGAAAGAGGGAGAGAGAGAGAAGAAACATTTAGATATTTAGATTTTAAAGTCAATGTAAGGTTTAGAATATGAATCAAGTTAATATTTCTAAAAAAGAGGGGAAAAAAGCTTCTGTAACCAATTTCTCTTGAAGGATGTTGGTTTGTTTCTCGCATATGAAAGAAATGGGTAATAAAGTTAGCATTTGTATCACATAGTGACTTGTTTGCCAGTAATTGCATGCCCTGTGTGGTAATGTATGATCATGGCAATAAAGAGCAGAAAATAAGGCTGAACTGAGCCAAAACCATACTTGCATTTCACAGCTTTATTTCTGTTTATCTGATGTTTTTCACCCACAGTGACCTAAACAGCTGAACAGGATTTTATTCTGTCGTTGACATTTAGTTGGTGAAGTGAAACATGGTGTAAAGCTGCTAAAGAAAGGAGTATTTTTATATCCTGTCTCCGTGTTGCTTCATCTAATGAACAGTGCAGCTTCTGAAAGGAAATCAAATGAATTTTTTGGAGAACATGCAGCCCGTCACCCTCCTACATGTTGATTCGGAGATGCTGCCATAAGCTCCACAAAATAAACAGCATTCAGAGTGTGGGCCCCAGCTGGAAACATGACAGCATCTCAAATACCACGTTTCTTATTATGACAAAGACAGAAGCGAGAACAGAGAACAGAACTGGTAACGTTCAAATCCCCTGATAGATCTTTTATTTTTCAGATTTTTGGATGCAATTTCGGATCAAAAAGTGGACTTTTAATTTCCATTGTGACACATTTTAACAAGAAAACCTAAGAGAAAAAAATCTGCAATGTTTATCCATGAGGCTGATAAAGAATGCCAAAATGTACATTAAATCTGTGTGCAATGAGATATTTAACGTGGAAAAAAAACAGATGATCTTTTGGATAAATTAGGACAGATTTACTAAAGAGAGCAAATTAGAATGCATCTTAAATCCAGAAAAATGGGATTGATTAGCTCTGGCACCAACTTAATACCGTGTGGATGTATGCACAAATGTAGCGAGATCATCTCGGTAACAACCAAAGCAATCTTGCAAGAACAGCACCAATTAGTATGGGGTTGCAGAACAGGCAGACCTCATGGTAATCATGTGTGGGTAATTTAAGGATAAGAGATGCTTATTTGTTGTAATATGACAACTATAATAGGCAGTAGGTCCAAAGGTTACCGTGTATTCTACTTATTAAGTTGCTTGAAAATGTTGCGGACTGGAATGTCTCCTTGTTCTCTGTCTTGATGGCAGATAAGTTTATTTGACCGTCTAACCTTTCTAGCTCGTAAATAATATAGTGGATTTCAATTTAAAAGCCTAATAGTCAGAAAAAGCACACACAAAAAATGTCCTAACATGTGTGCTGTGTTAGGACTTTCCAAAAGTATTCATATGTGATCCATGTAGCCTGGAAGAATTGCAGGGGATTTGACTGGAACTGACGTTCACTTTCCAGGATGACAAGAACCCTAGGCTACATTCGAATGGTTTAGTTTAAAGGATACCCATGTGTTGGAGTGGTTCAGTCAAAGTCCAGATCTAAATCCAACACAGACATTCTCCTTCCAGTCTAACTGAACTTAAGTTATTTTGTAAAGAGGAATGGACAAAGTTGCCAATCCTTATATGTCCAAAGTGGTTAACAACAAACCCCAAATTATTGATTCAAATACACTCGATTTTTGTCTTCCATTATCTTTCCACTTGTTCTGATTTAGTGTTGTCTATCAAATAAAATCCAAGGTTTTGGTTCAATTACTATAAAATGTATATTTGTACATAATTTGTAAAATGCAAATGTTTAAGTATATGAATACTTGTACAAGTTACTGTGCATTCAGGCAATAATTTAAAGACGATCTTAAAATGTAATCTAAAATGCAAAAAAAAAAAAAAAAAGACTTACTAGAACTTTACAGTGAAAAGGTCAACATCTTAGTATTTTGTGAACCTTTAGTGAAATGTATTAGGAAAATGAAACAGTCTGTGGTCAAACGCATCAGGTTATTTAAACTGTTCAGACCAAATCCTGTGAACTGTGAGCGAGCAAACAAAAAAACGGGGTTTTGGCTGCCGGAAAGAGCGAGGAGAGGTTGCGGTTGTCTGTGGTGGTTTCCTCATCCATCTGCCACACAGCCACAGACCTCGCCAAGACACACAAACTCCGCGCGCGCGCACACACACACACACACATCAAACCTCTACCTCCCTTTCTCTCCTCTCTTTTCTCACTATTGATGTCTTATTCTTCAGTTGCTATTGGTTACCTCGCTATTTTGCTCTTAATGTCAATTACCTCCAGCTTGTTTAGTCTTTGTGGTGAACATCAGGACTGAAGATTAGGCCCAAAGTCACTACCATCCTGCCCACTTTCCTCTAGAAGAAAAAGTGAACAGAGAAACAATGACTTTTGCTGGGATGTTGTGACTAATTTTGTTTGTTTTCTATGCTGGTGGGTGACCTTATAATTTGTTAGGGGAGCGGTTGTTGTTTGCGGCGGCTTGTCTCTTCATCACCAGCCATTCTTGTCATCCTGCAGAGCCGTAATTTCCTTCGTTTCCAGCTTCGCCACATAATTTATCTACTCCTTCTGTGTAAGAGCGAGCGAGCAAGAGAGAGAGAAAGGAAGAGGAAAGGGGGGGCATATGTAGATGGGTAGAAAGATAAAGATGACACAGTAGGGGGGCGAGAGAGGTAAGATGATGGTAGCAATGTGTGATGAGGTGGGAAATGAGTGGGGCAGACGGGAGGAGAGAGTCGGTTGCCCGTGGATACGACCCCGATATAATTTGATTTGTGGCAGCAGGAAGCAATGAGTGAGCTAACACGAAAAGGAGGGTGGGTGGGGGGGTGCAGAGGATGTGGAAAATACTGACAGAGGAGAGGAAGAGAAAACGAGGGCGAGGAAATAAGAGGAGCAAAAGAGACAAGCGGCTTAAACATGTCAGGTGCTGAGGCAGGAAGGAGCACGAGACGGAGGGATGGAGGGATCACAGGGGGAGGAAGATGGAGAGACTGAAGGTCTCACATGGCTTCTCTCATCCTCAGTGATCATATCTTGTTTGCACTTTTCTTCTTTCTCTCCATATTCAATTAATTTCAATTACAGTTTCACTTCAGAACTATTGTTCCAGGATGGCAGTGTGTGTCGGTGCAGGCAGACTGATATCACCATAGTGGTTCATTTAGTGCTGTAACTGTGGTGCAGTGGAAGAAAGGACCTCACTGGCCTTGGAGTCTATTGGTGATGGCAAACATCAGAATGATAACTATTTAATATCTGTTTCTGTCATTGTTAAAGCTGCTACCCAAACACAGTGACACGTCATGCATTGATGCTTCTTGAATAAGTACTTTGGCTTCTGATCAGACTTTTAAAGATCTGTTGTTCAGGCCTTCTTTAAGAGAAGGAGGAACTTTCACTGTTGGAAACTAAAGAACACAAAATTATTGCAAAATGGAAGTGAGAGAAGTATTTTTTTTTTATCTTGTTAAAACTGTTACAAAAAAACATGAGAACACTTTCTACTAAAGGCCACAGAAACATCCGTCCAAGGCCAAGATTCAAACCACAACCTTCTTGTAATGCAACAGTTCTCCACAGAAAAATGCATTTTCATAATGAATCTAATGATATTGTTACCTAACTGAAAATCTGTTCTTAGTTTATCTAAAGCCATTTATTTATTAACAGTCTTCTCCCACTTTTTTGTACTTAAAATTAGGTAATAGTTAACTAACTACAAATGAAGGAATCATTATTGATCACTAATAATGAGGCTTTTAAACTGTAAAGGTCAAGAATATCAAGAGACAGGAATTAACTGATGATGAAAAGGATTTCCTAACAAGGTTTATTTGCTCATTAGTAATTAATAGTCAATCTAACATGAACCAACTAACCCTTTACTATTATCCAAAATGCTAACTAATTGTGAAATTATGTTTTCCTAACATGTTCACTAGGAAGTAATTAGGTGAACCCTTGTAAATTCATGGGTCAGTATTTGCAGATTTTTCTGTTGAATATGACACCAAAATGTTTTTGAAAAAATTGACACATGTTCAGTTTTCTTTTTAAAGCAACTTCTAAAATATTTGAAAGAAAATACAGGTGTGCTATTGACTGGCTTTTTGTAAAGCAGCCAATCCAGGAGCACCATTCTTTTCTATGGCGCAGATAATGAGCCCAAAGGGTGGAGAAGATGGATGTTAGTATTTTTTAACGATGAAGCATCAAAAGGTTCACTAGTTTATCAGTAAGTAACAAGTATGTAACTGTAAAGTTGGATACTGCTTGAAAGAGAAGATTATTATAATTATATTTTTACCCCAAATTATTCAGAATGAAACGGCCACCATGTCATGGATAAATTGTTGAAGAATTAATATAAAATCATAGGTTTATTAAAAAAAAAAAAAAATCCTGGAAGTAGCTTCCCTCATACAAAAACTAGAGATTTATGTTAAATTTGGTTCCCAGAAAACAAATGTTTCAAGCCCAACTTGTTAACCTCCTGCTTTTCAGGTCGTAACCTCAGGCAGAGACATCACAACTTGTTTTTGACTTTTATGTCTGATGGAAAATATTATGTCACCTGTGGGTGTGGCCTGAACATGCTGCGTCTTTGAAAACTTCCCTGTCCTGTTTTACTCCATCTGTGGACAGATTTTACTTTCACTCTGATTTTCCTCACATCAAACAGCATAAAACTGTAGCCATACCTGAAGCCTTTTTCCCTCTTGCTAATCTTTTTACTCAGTGTGTTTGTTTTTGTGCAATCCTGCGTGTTTAATCCAAACAAAGCCAAATCTCCCCGGATTGTAAATACCAGTTGGTTAAAGCAGAGAAGCACTTCCAAAGCCAATCAGCAGACAACAAGGGACCCTGTGCTTCAGCAACACTTCCAGTTCTGTTCGGCATGTTCACAACTGAGGGGGCTTGTGGAAGAGAAAGTCTGTGTGTGTGTTTCTGCTTGAAAGAGAGGAATAATGTGTGACAGAAGGAGAGTGTGGAAAAGAAGGCATGAGAGCATGTGTGACATAGAAAGAGAGCATGGAAAAGAGCATAACAGAGTGTGAAAATGACGGGGAGGGTGAATGTGACGGGAAGTGAAAGCCACTGTGTGTGCAAGTAAAAACTGAGGACATGAAAAAAAGAGCCTGTCTTTCCCATTAATTAAATGTCTCAATCCTGTACATTTCCCACACTGTGTACCTGCATAGTGATGAAACGGTGATTGGAGTCTTGATTATTGTTTTAGTGAAGATGAACTCTTTTGAGCAGCTCTGGTTTAAGATGATATGAATATCAGCCTCAGGGTAAAAAGCTCTGCATTTTGGATAAAAAGTATTTTATTTTTTTTTGTATTTTGGCAAAAACAGAGGGATGCTTTGAGGTCATACAACTGAAACCTATTACTACACACAGATCCGTGATAAGGCCTAAAAATGCCTGGATAGTAGACATTGCTGGCATTCTGTCTGTCTGCTACTTGTTTGATCACCTTGGCATCAGGTTTTCAGTTTTTCTCATTACATGTCAACGTCGATGTGATAACATGACATAATTGCATTTTAATATATTCCTTATTGTTTTAGCGTAAAAACATAATGTAAAATCTTTTTTTTTTTTTTTTTTTTCTCCCACCTAAACCTTTCCCCCTGGAGACAAAGACCAACAAACCACTAGGATGACTTCAAAGACCTTTGTAAGATGTCACATTTGGATCATTTAAAATATTTCCCCACACATTCAGTTTTAATCATTTTTAGACTATTGTTGTGAATTTGCCTCAAACTGTCAAAATGCAGTCAAGGTGGTATGTGTATCCCACCAAAGAGGGTTAATATTGATTCTACACATACAAAGGAAACATTTTACTATTATCTAACTCAATTATGCTTAATTCCCCTAATTTGGAAACTAAATACCAAAAGCTGTGTATTCCATGTATTATATTCACATTAACAAGTTCTAGGTTTTTTAACATCTTTTTGTCTGCAAAAACATGTTTTTTATATTACTGCAAAAAAACTTAGCCACTTAAGGGTTCAAATATTTCATAACCTTCACACTTATTGCCAAACTTACCTGTCCTCAAAATATATTTCACATATTTAAAGACTATATATTTTTAAGAAAATTCAACCTTATTTGGTAACATTTATTTTACAATGAAAATTAGCCCATACTAAGAGTTTTTTTTAAAGAATGTGAGGGCTTGGCAACTTCTCAAAATGGGAAACGCATGAAAAGGGTACTTGACATACAAGTAGAGTAGTTCTGTAGATTGATATTAAAACTGTAAGTCAGGCCATGGATAAAGTGTCTCACTGAAACATCCTCAGTAAGAGTAGTAATTTATTTATTTATTTATTTTTTGAACATCTGAAACTGTAAAAAGCAGACTGGATGAGGATCAGTGTTTATTTTCCCACCCTGCAGAGTGAAGAGGATGGTGGGGGAGGTAAAATAATAAATATTCCTCAAGCTCACTGCTGGAGATCTACAGCAAAGAGGAACATTTTATGCTGATTATTATGTATAGTGGAGAATCTATGATTTCATGGGCCAGTTGTGGCATTTTTCACAAAGGCCCTAAACACTTTGTGAAGTGCATCATCACGCCTTTAAAATACTATTAAAAATAACAATCAGGTAGCTTAAAATTAAAACAAGTTTTATTATTAGGTTTTAATGAGGTATTGATCCATGAACATATGACCAAATCAGCTCAGAGATGGTTCCACAGAAGACAGAATTAACTTTCTTCCAGCATCACCTCGGTGCCCTGAGGTAGTAAAAACAGTTAATGTGGAGAGTTCTGGCACTTACTGGCCAACAACAACAAGAAACCGAACCAGAAAGTTCTGAGCTAGAGCTTAATTTTCCTTTGCAACAATGAGCCAGTATGGAACAGTTTAAGATCTTACTGCACTGACCGTTCTTCTGTAACTGCACCAAGAGCTTTTAGGTGGGATTCAGTGGTTTCACTGATTGATTGGGCCAAGTGGGCCTTTTAAGGAAAACAAGAAATAAATGAAATGTTTGATTTAGAGTCGTTATATTTTATTTGGTTTTAAATAGAAAATGGCTGCAGCTAAAATCTCCTTTTATGAACATGAAACTGTTGTATGTTGTATTAAATAGTTTAATTTTCACTTTCTTTTCCTTTTATTTTCCTCCACCAGGTGACATTCACCAAACGGAAGTTCGGTTTGATGAAGAAGGCGTACGAGTTGAGTGTCCTGTGCGACTGCGAGATCGCTCTCATCATCTTCAACCACTCGAACAAGCTGTTTCAGTACGCCAGCACCGACATGGACAAGGTCCTGCTCAAGTACACAGAGTACAACGAGCCACACGAGAGCCGGACCAATGCCGACATTATCGAGGTAAAACGTGGGAACACAAGGGAGCAGGTAGTGGGTTTCATAACTGTACACACTTTGTTTCTGAATTTCTTTTATCGGACGCTTCCTTTTACAAGACCACTTTCACATTTATTGCAGTCTCCCTTGAACCAAACAGATTTCAGTGCAGTGTATCCATGTGATTTACTGTTTACTTACATGTTTAGATGGTTATTAAATCCTCCATTAAAACATAACAGTCTCTCATCATGCTTTTTCAGCTTTCTGTCCTCATTCATGTTTTAAAAAGCCTGAAAATCAGCATTGTTTCAATTTTGTTGGTCATATCAACAGGAATTTTAACCTTTATTTTAGTTGTTTTACTTATTTGTTATAAAGCAACTTTATACTTTTAAAACTTTGAAGACCTTTTTACCAAGTCGGCGAGCAGCTCAGAGAAGCAGCTTTTCCATCACAAATATTTGTAATGCCAGAAGGTCTGACTTGTTTTGCTCCTTGTTGATGTTTGAATTGAGGCTCGTATTTATTGATGCACAGTCTTATTTGTATATGAATGCTGGAAAATAATTTTTTCCTTATGTGTTTTACCAGTATTTTCCTCTGTGTTTATTCTCAAGTGGGATCATTAAGATTTATACATAACTAATCTAATTCAGCCCTCTCCAGGCCGACATTTAGACATAATTAAGCCATGAACAGCTTATTAAGGCCGGGTGGGTTCATGTTTACCATTATTATTATTATTGCCTTTGGACCAGGATAGTATTAAGCTCACCTTTCAATCCACAGCTTTAAAACAAAAAACTAACCAGAAAAAGGACAGGCTTCTTCTTCTCTTTTTTCACAGAAACTTATATTTAAGCCAAGAGCTGCATTGGAAGATTTGAATCACTCTTTGGGCTGGAGCCAGAGGGTACAAACATTATCTCAACATCAACAAGCAGGGGGAATTGTTAGACTTACTCTGTTCAAAGTTCAGCAACTCCACTGAGAAACCCACCTAAAGCCAAAATGTAAAACAACTAGGTTTTTATTACTACTACTTTTATCCAATTGAAAATACTTTATTTGTCCCAGAGGGATTTTAAGTGTTGCTGTAACTCATAACATCCAAGTGTCTCTAAAGAGTTGTTCTGTGGGCAGAAAAGGTCTCTGGTAGCAGTCAGGCTTGCAACAAATCTGAATATTCCTCTGACTGAAGATACTGTTGCTCAAACATTGTGCAGAGACGATATTACTTGTCCTTGATCACACCACCAGTTGTTGGCAAGCATTGCTAATCAGCCTCACTTGCTTTTACTGCATTTCTTTAAAGGTTCCCACATGCTTCATGCCAAAATCGGCCCTCATTGATGGTGACATGCTACAAAAATTGTCTTTTTTGACGGAAATCTGCGCAAAGCATCATGTGATTGGTCAGAAGTTTGTTGTTGAGTTTTATACAGAAATGCACTTGGAGTGCAGTGTTGACATTTCTCTTCAACTAGTCCACTGGAGGGAGGGGAACTGTTCAGTTTCAGATGAAGTATGTGGGAGTCTTAAATCTTTGTCTGGCCGCATGGTCAGAGAGACGTTGGAGTCGGGGAAATAATCCTTTCTCATTGTGATTGATGGAAGAGATTCTTTGAACTTCCTCATTCTCTCTCTGATCTTTGGTTCCGCTATGCATCCATGGAGCCTTATTTTACACTTCTCTTTAAGGTCATATTTCAGGTATTGTTTGAGCTTTAAAATAATAATCAGCTATTACTGGTTGCAAAAACAATACCTTGATGCCATACCGTATTCCAAAAGTAAAAAAGTAAGAACAAACATCCTTCCAGCTGCACAACATCCAAAGCCAGAGGGAATAATTGTTCAAAAAGGTGATGGCTCAACCAAGATAATTATGAACAAAAGTCTGCAAAAAGAACAAATCAGAACTAATATAACAGATCTACTCCAACATCCAGCCACCATGAGTGGCGATCCTAGAATAAATGTTAGTGTTCATCTGATGCTTTTCCTGATTCTTTAGTTAAATTTATGTCTGACTTGTTGACCTCAATCTTTCATGGTGAGGTTAAAGGCTGTTTTGGTTCTCATCACTTTCTGTGGTTTTACTTGCATTGTTAGCCTGAGATCTCTCAGGGAACAACTTGGGCAAAACGCCAAAGACGGAAAAATATTTGGAAGCAATTGAAAACCACCTCAGCACAAAATGGCCACCACATAAACAAGAATCTGTCAGTGATGGCTGAAAAATAGCTTTTCATTTACAGAAGAGAGATGATAGATTAGGTCAGGGCAGACAGTGTTGAGGTCAATCACTGAACTAAATATTTTTTATTTTTTATTTTGCTGTGCTTTGCTGGAGCTCATCGAGGGAACACAGAGCGCATTCACATGCTTAGCTGACCCTTTTCATACATAATGACCCTCTCATGAATTCAACACGAGACGGCTAGGTATGATTCATCGGGCCGTGTGCACTGCTGCGTTGCACTTATGCTTCCTATGGAGCCGTGACTTAAAGCTACATCCGCCTCGCCTTTGAATATTTTCCCACTTGTTTTTGACGCACATTGCCGTAGGACTTTCAGTCATCCGCAAACAGTATCAGCAGCAAGTAACAAAGGCTGCTCCAGTTAAAGTCACATTCCGCAAAAAATGCACACAAGCAGACCAGCAAGCTTACTCGCTCATAAACAGATTTTATTTGGCTTTTTTAGTGGTGTGCTGACATGACCTGAGATGGTTCGGCTTCACATTCCCAGTCTTTAATTTATTCAAACTGGCCTCACCATTTTGGAATGAAAGCTTGTGCTGGCAATGATGGAAAGTGAGAACAGGAATATTGGAGTAGGAACGGTTCCCTGCTGATTTCATCCACTGTAACCTGCCAAATTACAATCTGCACAAACCTTCCAGACAATCTAACATAAAGTAAATTCAGTTTTAACCTTTTACTTCCCACAAATGTTTAATGTCCTGTATCAATAGAGTACATTTAGGTGTTAAACTTAGCCAATTATCTTAGTGCTGTGTAAAGGCACTGTGTGTAGTTATGTGGTGAAGGTGTTTCATTAACCACTGATAGCCAGGTTCTACTGCTGAGAATGTTTTAAAGTAGTTAAGATGTTAAAACTTTTAATAGAACTCCTCCAGCTTTGAAATGGATTTCTTAGCACTTCAGCACATTATTTCTTCTTTTATTAACTAAAGTTGGGAAATCCACGTAGACATTGGTCCATTACCAATGTCAAGGTATATCAAGGGTGTGAAATATTTGATAATTTCTCTGACACTTTATTAAAAAGAAATAAAACAGAGAAACCAGTTTTCTCTGGCTTTGCACATTTTTGTTTTAATGACTGTTTAGTACTATGTGCCAGTTCCAAACCCTCTTTACAGATCACATCCTTTCAGACCACATGAAGTACCAAAGCGTAAAATTGATAAAGTGAAAAGCAAATAATCTGTCATTTGATGGCTTGGTGTGAGAAAGTTTGTGTTGGCTGGCATCTGCTACCCATCCATCATCCATTCACTGCTGGAGAGATTGACCAACAAATCTCTTTTGTGCACATCACGATGTGTTTCAGACTATAAGATCTAAAAAGACTGTCCTTATTTTTTTAAAGACTTTTTTCTTGTTGGAAGACGAATACCTGAAATATTTCAAATTCTTTGATTCATGCTGAGAAATTATCAGCTTATCTATAGAAGTCACATACAGTTTAGTTGTTTTTTTTTTCCCCATTGTTAAAACGTACATGTTATTGGACAGTTTTAAGGGTGAAACGAAATGCATCCAAGGGGAAAGTCATCCAATGAGAGCTTCCCTGCAAAAACTGCTGAAACCTCATGTAAAGTGTTAGCGAAGCACTTTTACCTTTGAGTGGGTTGAAGGTAAAACTTAGGTGCCATAGTTTGGGGCGACATTTTTTCCTTCTACATCTCTGTCTGTCACTTCCTGTCTTTCTTTCTCCCTTCTTCCTGCCCTCCTCCCTCCCTCCCTTCCTAATCTCCTGATTCACTCGGTCACGACAATTTCTCCCTTTTTCCTGTCCTTCTCTTTCTGCCTGTCTCAGAGTGTCAGCAGTGAAGCCTTTCTGTAGGCAGTATCTCCAACTGCAGATGGCTCTTAAGTGTATGCATGCATGTGTGTGTATGTGTGTGTTTGTATCGTGGCAGGGCGTTGGGCAGCTCTGGGCCACATCAGCTCAAGCTCCACTGGTTCTGTTTGTGTGCGTACATGTGTTGGTGTTTCCAAGTGTGTCGCCCCGTCTCTTTCTTTACGTGTGTGTTTTCATTAATGTGTGTGTGACCGCAAATACGTCCACCTCTCCCTCTCTGCTCGCACGCTCTGCAGTGGCCCATGAGAACGCCTCATACAATATTCAGTCTCGGTGAGGCTCTCTGTTGTGTACGCGTGTGCGTCCCTCATGGATGTTTCTCTCCCGTCCCGGCTTTTATTCTCCCCCGCTCCGCTACCTCACCCTTTCTCTCTGTAGCCCAGGAGGCATTTAAAATCACTCCTCAGTATTTGTCCTCAATTGTCTCCTTCACCAGATGTGCGCCGGCTTCGACCTCTTTTTCATCCAGGTGTCCCTTTTGTCCCCTCTGCTTTTTTTTTTTTTCTCTTTCCACCTAAAATCTTGGATTTTTTTTTTCTTTTTATATACCACTAGCTGAAGATTTAAACTGTTGTAAAGATTTAAGAAGTACTACTTAAAATAATAAAATATATTTAAAAATAGATGTTTTATGACAAATTATTTCATATTTATACCGACAGAGGACTGTGTTTCAAATAAGAGTTAGAAAACCCTGCAGTCAGTCGGTTCATTGTAAGGAGCAAACATTTCACCCACTGGTTCACCAAGGTGTTATTAATATTTTTGAAACAACAATGGCGCTCTAAGGCACAGAGGAAGAAGATATATTAATTTTTTGATGCCTACGTAATAATAATGTTGGGAGCATATGTTGGGTCTTGACAAAGGATGGCTCCGTTTCCTTTTTTTCATTTTTTTTCCAGACAGAAAAGTATGTTGCATTAACAAATTTACCAAAAGTATTCATGAGTAGGTTTAACATTTACATCATATGTAATAACAGAAGAGTCTACTTACTTTTCAGTTTCATTATCTTGACCAGAAATTCTTGGTAAAAGTGGAAAAAAAAAAAAAAAAAAAACATCTGCCGTTGGGAAAGAAAAGTAAGT